TGAAAGAGGGGTTGATGGATATTTCTTTACACCCAAGAGATCAGATTCTTCAGGGGTTACTCCTTGGATGTCAACAAAAATCTGTAAAAAATTATTCTCAAATAAATATGCAATCTAAACGCAATCATATACGCAGTATATACGCATTATATACGCAGTATATACGCAATCCATACGCACAATGTACGCAATACATACGCAAACCGTACGCAATAAATAAGCAATATATAAAACTGTACACAATAACTACCTGTCTTCTCTTTAAATTAACAAATAATTTGGCAGTCTTCTCAGTGTTATACAAAAAGTCATCAGTCCATCGAAGGAAACGGGGCCTTCTGTCAGGATACTTTGGGAGATGAATGGAAGTGTGCTCTAGGAACCAAACATGTATAAAATTGATATATTCTCAGTAAAATTTAGCAAAACAATCAGTCAATTAAAATGTTTAATTAGAATTGTTTTAGCACTCACAATAAGCAGTGGCACAAATCCATTTACATAACCCGCTGGCCTGTTATTTGAGATCTTCATAGATACATTATTAAAATCTTCAACCATACATTTCCAAATTGCCCATGCCCAGTTAATTGATGAAAAATCATCAACATTATTTGCTATTGTCTTTAACATCTTAGGAACTTTAAAGTTGCTTTGTTGGAAAAATAAATTAGAACACAAATACATAATAAATATTTTCAACATGGTATCTAGGGAGCTTTCCCTAGTCAACTCAAACATTTCAGTCTTAATATCCTTTGAAGTGATTGTTGAAGTCGGCAAGGTCATCCAAGTAATCTCCTTACCTCTGTTTGGTAGTCCAGTCAGGAGGGCCACTTCATCAGCTGTGAAAGGTACAACATGGCCCTCTATAATGAAGCTTTTCTTTTCAATGTTCCACATTATCAACAACTGGTAGATAAGTGGGCGTTTTGCTCAAATCCAAGAAATTGAAGAAATTGGTAAATATTCAGTTCCTTCAATTTTTCTTCAATTTCAATAGGAATTATATCGAAAAATGTATCACACATTGTTCTGAAGGTCGAAACATAGCATCTATATGATATAGAACAGACGTAGATCTGCGTAGAATAAGAAACTATGATTAAATACGCATATAAAACGCAATAAAATACGTAAATCATACGCATATTATACGCAAGTTGTACGCATACCATATGCAAAACATACGCGTTACATACGCAAGGTGTACGCATACCATACACAATGTACGCAAATGATAAGAAAAATATCAGCAGAAATCTAGGGTTTTTTCACTAATCATTTTTTCTTTATTGGAAGTTTAGTTTTATGATTTAAAGTTCCAAAGTATTTATTATAAAACGTTAGGGTTTGTCTCCAACTTATACGCAAAAAATAAGCGAAATTTACGTAGAATATACACATTGTATACAAAAAAAATACGTAGAAAGAACGAATATGGTCTGATAAATATAATCTTTTATAGATACTCGGAATGATTTGATTTTATTTTTTGATTTTTTTAGCAAATACGCGTTGAATATCATAGAAATACGTAGTTCGTTTTATGTCATTGTAAGAATTTACGCACCTTTCTCTTTGCAGGTGAATCCTCCATGTTGAGTAAAAGAGATTGCTGGATTTTTCAGAAATTTTTTTTGCAGGAAGCTCGGGAGTGCTGGAGCGAATGGAGAGAAATTTGGAATTTCAAAAATGTTAAAATTTTCCTCATTTTTCATTGTATTTACTGGGCGGGCCATCGGTCTTTTCATTTGTAGTTGGTCCGAAATGACGAACGGGTCGGGCCTTACTTGACACGTAGACAAGCCACGCGTAATGAATTTATTCGCTGCCGAACACATCGTTGTGATCGGATTCCACACAGAATAATTTCTCGCATGGAGAAGTGAAGTTGCGGGAAAAGAAGCGAAGCCCCAAAGCTTCGTTCGTTGTTGTATTTAAATATCCGATTGAGCAGCTCTTCACACGTGAGGTCGGCTCTAAAAAGGCGCCGAAGGCAGTGTGTAGGGCGACTACAGAAGGAGAAATTATTCTGTGCAGAATCCGCTTATAGAGCTGTGTTCGGATGCTTACGTGGAAAGTTAAAAGTCCGTGATATTTATTTGACTTGCGTATTGATTGAGTATTTATAGCGTATTCGTTGCGTAAAATGTGCGTATTAATTGAGTATTTTATTGCGTATTTATTACATATTTATTGAGTATTTGTTGCGTATATGTTGCATATTTTCTGCTTAATTACTTCTTATTTGTTGCGGATTTCTTTTCGTCTACAGTAAGTCCGAAAAGACAAACGGGTCGGGTAAGAAGTCAAATTAATATCCTAACTTTTCACGTAAGCACGCCACATGTAATGATTTTACTGGCATCCAAATACAGCTCTATAATCGGATTCCGCACAGAATAATTTCTCATCTGGGGCCGCGACAGGATTTGGGCGAGGTCTCGGTATGGATCTGACACATGTAATGAGTATAAGTTTTTTGTTTTCTCTCTTTTGTTTTGGCTATAGCATCGAGCTCAACAACATTGTTTGGCTATAATAGATAATTTAATTAAATAATAATGGAATATATCATTTTTATGAGTTGCCTGGCCATGGTTGCCATCAATTGAGTTTGAGTTTGACTCAATTCAAAATGTTACCGTTTGCACATTATATAATAGAGTATGGATTGGTGAGGTCTGAATTCATCATTGTAGACTAAAGCTTCATTTGTGATGGCTTTTTTATGCTAACGAAAAAAAAAAAAAGTAAAAAAAGCCGTCCAAAGCGAAGACTAATTTGAAGGCTGACAATTCAACATGAGCTCATTTAATTTAACTTGCGAGCTATTTCTCTTAGAGACTTGCTGCTCTAAGTTATTCTAATTTTGGGGATTTAGACTTCACTTGTGACACTTTTTTTTTTTTGCTTTATAAAATAAATTTCATATAAAAAAATTATAATTAAAAAAAAATTGTATAAAAAATTGGTGTAAAAAATATTAAGAAAATAGTTGGCCAATTAGAGTTTTATTGAAAAGGTGGATCCTATATTCAAATAAATGTTCATTTTGTTCCAAATTACATCAATTTTATATATTAAAAAAAAGCCTAAAAGTAAAAAAAAGCTCATAAAGCTTCAACTCTTAAAATAGTCGACAATGCTCAAATGTAGTTGCCATCCGAGATGGCCCAAAAAGTATAGTATCTGATAATCTTAATAGTGAGAAATAAAAAAACCACCCAAGCAAAGATCCCCAAAAAATTGATAACAAACAGGAGCCCTAAACAAACTAACGAAATAGAAGACCATCCTCCAGAACTATAACGTCCGGCCACAAGATAATTAAACAATAATGAAAGCCTTCAGCAATCGCAAATTGGTTACTAACATCAACAGTAGTACTAATTGATACTGAATGCGATTTATAAATTCATAAATGTATGCATTACGAGCATAATAAAAGGTTTACAAAGATAATGTTGGTAACCACACTCATTGGCATGATGAGCATCATAACTGGCGCCTTATTACTATAGGTAATGCTGGTAACCGCACTAAAACAGAATATCATCAAACTTCATCCAGATATAACATTAAACTGGCGCCTTTTTACTGTAGCTAATGCTGTCAACCACACTAAAACAGAATATCATCAACTTTATCGAGATATAGTCCCCCATAGAAACACTTTATTTAAGGTTCGCGTGTCCAGCGCCTAAGAAGTCTCCAAAAGCTTCTTGATATCCTTCTGCAAATGGTTAAATTCACAAATATATTAGATAGCATTACAAGAGAATTACCATAATAAGCACTCATTGGCGTGATGAGCAGAAATGACAAGCATTTCTTTATCTAAAACCATAATAAGATGGCCGTTTGATTTCTTCCATGCTCGAGAATTTTTGCTAAATTCAAGATCTATATTATAAAAAAAGTTACCTCGATGCTCAGGGGAGAGGTGGTGGGAGCATAGCGATCGACAACACGACCGTCTTTGTCAACTAAAAACTTGGAGAAGTTCCACTTGATGCTGTCCCCAAAAAGCCCACCTTTGCTTGACTTGAGGAACTTGTAGATGGGGGCAGCATTTTGTCCATTTACATCCACCTAATGAACATAGAAACACGAACAGGTTCAAATGGTACTGTCATGTTAATAGTTTGATGTATGAATGTTACTGGATGACCGACAAAATAATCTACAGCAGTGCAGTGTGCTTACAACCATTTAATTCAGTCGTATTGATTAATGATCACTACATGAGAAAAATCGAAACCATAATTATTTCTACAAATTCCAAGCCACCTCCCACAATCACAATTGACAGCATTTGGAAATTAAGAGGTTCATTGTAAAAACTTAAAAACATTTACAAATGGCAATCAAATCAAATGAGCAGGATGCAATTCTTATGCTTAAGCTAAGTTGCTAAATAGTTTAGTTATCACTGCACAGATGCCTAGATGCATCAGTTCTGTTACTGTTTTCATTAGGCTTGGACTGGCAAAGATCTAGTCTTCAGCATTTCATACAAAATAATTAAAAAAATAATAATAATAAATAAAGCATAAACCTCTAATGCACAATTTAATAAAGTCTTAAAAATATTTGAGCCTTACTAATAGGAAACACTTGTAGAACTCCAAGTGGAACTTCATTTCAGCAATATCTCTCCACAATTCTCCAACAAATCCAGAAAAGAACAGCAATAATAATGTAGTAGTTGATGAAATTGGAAGCAAAAAACCAAGATATAATTTATCATCAATTCAAGAGGAGTATCTATATGTCCCAACTCTCTAGACGTCGCTAGAGTCCAAGAACCCCAAGCACGAACAGAATTCAACAAATATAAAGATAACCCTAACCCTGATGCAATCCTTCTACTTAAAGCAAACAAAATAATCTTCCAAAAGAATAAAAAAACCTCATAATTCAAAATTCTCAATTAACCGCGACCAAAGAATCACTTTGTCCTCAAGGTAAAAAGAAGAGAATTGACATTGCATCCTCTCATATGGCTCCCATGCAGCATCATAATCGGGAAGATTCCTCCATTTGATCAACATACTTCTTTGATCCCCCCTCCCCCTGGCATACACCTTGTGGCCGTAGTGGTTCTAATACCACTTTCAAATACTCAGTTAGCATTGCTTGCAACTCTGAAGTAGCTGTGTGATCCACAATAGCTCTCTTCAATTGTGATACATGAAATACTAGGTGTATGGTAGCAGTCGGGGGTTACCTCAAACAATAAGCTACTGCTCCAAACTTCTCTGATATCTCATAAGAGTCAAAATATCTCCGAGCCAGCTTCTCGTTCTTCCTGTTAGCTCCCATCCTCTGTCTATAAGGTCGAAGCTTCAAGAACATCATATCCCCAACTTCAAAAAGGACATCCATCATATGCTCATCTGCCCGTTTCATCATAATCTATTGAGTCCTCAACATATGTTTTTTCAATTTTTCCAACACCCTGTCCCTCTCCATCAAGTATTCTTTTACTGAAGAAACTAGAGTGCTATGCTGCTCAAAATGTGCCAACTGAGGTGGGTCTCATCCATACAACACTTTGAATGGAGTTATCTGGGAAGCGGAATGATACGAAGTGTTGTACCAGTACTTTGCCCAAGCTAGCTATTTGACCAAAAGCATAAGTGTCTTTGAAACAAAACATGGTAGGTACGTCTCCAAGCTTCTGTTTACCACCTCCTTCTGCCCATCTGTTTGCAATATTGTCCCCTGCAACCTAAATAGCTCCCTCAAGAAGTGATTTGGGAACACCTTATCCTCGTCGAATACTACACTCCAGTATCCCATACAATCTGACCATCTCTCTGATGAAAGTTGTTGCAACTATCATTGTCGTATAGGGGAATGAAGTGGGCATACTTGCTCAATCTGTCTACTATCATTGAAAATACTATAAACCCCTCAAATCAGAGTAACCCATCTATAAAATCCATGGAGACCTCCCACATCCAATCTAGTAGAACTAGAGGTTGCAATAATCCCCCTGTAGATATGGCCATGTTCTTATTCTTCTAACATACCTCATAACTGGCTACCATCTCCTCTACATCCTTACGCACCCCTTTCCAATACGATTCTCCTGTATGTCTTATGCACTCCCGAGTGATCCCCAACAACACTCCCCTGAAACTACTTAAGTAGGTGTGCAATATGGATTGATGTCCTAGGCATCACAAATCTCCCTTGGTACAACAACCTCTCCCTCGCTAGAGAATAGCAAATGTGGCTATTCCCATCCTTCAATAAAGCTTCCCTAATCCTCCCCAGCTCCTCATCCCGCGCACACTCCTCCTTAATGGACCCCCAATCCAGCATCAGGGGTAACAATATGGCTAACTCTTGGAGCTCCCCCATGCATCTAAACAAGGCATCCGCTGTCTTATTCTCTATCCTGGGCCTATATTGGATCTCGAAATCATATCCCAATAACTTTGATAGCTATCTCTTATGCTCCTCTGTCAACATCCTCTACTTCAACAAATACTTCAAGCTCTATTAAACCACCATGACAATAAAATATCTACCTAACAAGTAAGATTGCCACTTCTGGATGGCTAGCACAATAGCCATCAACTCCCTCTAGTAGACTGACTTCAGCCTGGCTTTAGCTGTTAACATCTGGCTGAAGTAAGATATGAGTTTGTGGCTCTGCATGAGAACTGCTCCCAATCCATACCCTGATGCATCCGTTTCTACCACGAACACCTGAGGCTAAGACCGATATAATAGCCATGGCTTTCTTCAACCTCTTAAAAGCATGTGTAGCTTTCTCTCCCCACAAAAAGCAATCATTATTTAGTTGCTCTGTCAATGACCAAGTATGGTGTTGTATCCTCTCACAAATCTTGTGTAATATCTTGTTAACCTAGGAAGTCCATCAACTCTCTCAGATTTATAGGTAGAGGCCATTTCTTTGTTTGATCTACAACCACCACTCCTGAGAGATCACGTGCCTTAAGTACTCTATACTGGCCTGTGCAAAACAACACTTCTTCACGTGCCTTTAGCTGTCGCTCCTGTAACACCCTAGGACCATCCTCAAGTGCTCCTAATGTTCCTCGTTCGACTTGATGTACACCAGGACATCATCAAAGAAAATCAGCACAAACCGCTTGAGATATGGTCAGAATACCCTGTTCATGAGGGACCAAAATGTGGTCAGGTCATTAGTGAGGTGAAACAACATCACCAGGAACTCATAGTATCCCTCATGTATTCTGAAAGAAGTCTTCTTATTCGGATCTGATGGTATCCAGACTTTAATCTATCTTTGTGAAGATAACTGCCCCACATAACTCATCTAATAGCTCATCTAGCACTGGGATGAAAAACTTGTCTAGCACCGTCTCCTTATTGAAGGCCTGATAATCTACGCAGAACCTTCAACTCCCATACTTTTTCTTTAACCAGTAAGACGGGGATAGAAAAAGAACTCACATTAGGCCTGATAATTCATGCCTCCAGCTTTTCTCTGATCAACTTCTCTATTTCATCTTTTAGAAATTGAGGCACGTCCTCCCTCAGGGTGATAGCATACTCCTACTCCCTCGGTGGTGGCATTCTTATGTGGCTGAAAGACCTCATTGAATTATTGTACGAGGGGTTGTAATGCATGAGGAATGTCTCTCCCCTCCTCCAATCTAATCCCCTCTAATCTATGCAGCTTCACCAAGAATCCTCCCCCCACTTCCTATAAGATCCTAACCATAGTTTTGAGGGACACCATGGCTTTGAATAACCCTACATCTCCCTAAATCACTACTCTTCTCTCCTCCACCACCAACTCCATCATCAGTACTCCCAAGTTGACATTAGTATTTCGTAAGGTCCGCACCCACTTCATCCCCAGAATGAAATCAGTGCATTCTAACTCCAATGGGAGAAAATCCTCCCTCATCTGAATCCCTTGTATGGTCAATACTACTCCCTATAGATCCCATTACCTGTCTCCACCTTCCCTATGCCCATCATCACTCCGTAGCAACCTGTATCCACCAATGTCACCCTCAATTAGTTTACGACCTGGTTACCTGGTTAGAGATAAAATTATGAGTAGCCCCACAGTCAATCAACACCACTACCTCCTTGTCTGTAATTTCTCCCTTTACTTTCATGGTATGACTCGGGATGAATCCTACTACTGAGTTCAAGGAGACATCTGCCACATCTAAATGCATTTTTTCCTCCTCCTTTACCTAGGTCTCACTAGCACCTCCCTCCTCAGCTTACTCTTCATCACAGACGTTGAGAATTTGAAGAGTTCGATCCTAGCACCTGTGCTCTGGAGTATACTTCTCATCACATTTGAAGCATAATCCCTTCACCCTCTTGTGTTCTGAAAGCAGTCTTCTCGTTCGGATCTGATGGTATCTGGAATTTAATTTATCTTTGTGAAGATAACTGCCCCACATAACTCATTTAATAGCTCATCTAACACTGGGATAAAAAAATTGTCTAGCACTGTCTCCTTATTGAAGGCCTAGTAATCTATGCAAAACCTCCAACTCCCGTACTTTTTCTTTAACCAGTAAGACGGGGATAGAAAAAGAACTCACATTAGGCCTGATAATTCATGCCTCTAGCTTTTCTCTGATCAACTTCTCCATTTCATTTTTCAGAAATTGAGACACCTCCTCCCTCAGGGTGATAGCATACTCCTACTCCCTCGGTGGTGGCAATTCTTGTGTGGCTGAAAGACCTCACTGAATCACTGTATGAGGGGTTGTAGTGCCAGAGGAATGTCTCTCCCCTGCTCTAATCTAATCCCCTCTAATCTATGCAGCTCCACCAGGAATCCTCCCCCTACTTCCTATAAGATCCTAACCATAGTTTTGAGGGACACCATGGCTTTGGATAACCCTGCATCTCCCAAAATCACTACTCTTCTCTCCACCACCACCAGCTCCATCATCAGTGCTCCCCAGTTGACCTTAGTATTTTGTAAGGTCCACAACCACTTCATCCCCAGAATGACATTAGTGCATTCTAACTCCAATGGGAGAAAATCCTCCCTCACATGAATCCAATGTTTAAAATTGTGTATTCGGGTATTGAGTCATTTTTCATTCGTGAGACGAGGCGTAAGCCTCAAGGCGTTTTGAGGCGTAAGCCTCAAAATCAAAAGATTGCATAAACATAAAATGATAATTTTTTTAAATACTAATAAGTGAATAATATAAAACATAAAAAAGTATAAGATATGAAGTGAAATCAAAATATCTCAATAATAAGACAACATGAAAAATAGTTCAACTCAAAATTCTATCTTTCTGAAATTCCAGTATTCTTTTCATTAACATATAATTCCGATTTCCAAAAATAAATAGCAATGACATATCACATAAGAACTCATAAGTCATCAGCACTGTCATCACTAAGGGGTTCTTTATTTGAATCATCATTATGGTGAACTGCTCTCTCCCCTTCCTTCTCTCCTATAGAGTCCAATGTCGGGCATTTACTTCAAGATTTATGTAAGTTTTAATATGTATAGCGTGAGGCGTAAGCCTCATACCAGTGAGGCGAGGTGGGACTCAAGGCGGGCCTCAACCAAGTTAAGGCGCAAGCCTCATAAAAAAAAACTCGAGGCGTAAGCATCAAGGCGTTTTTTATTAGAATTGTGCAAAGGCGGGCCTCAAGGCGAGCCTCATATTGCGCAATTTTAAACCATGCAACAAATACAAAGATAACCCTAACCCTAATACAATCCTTCTCTCTACTTATGTTGTGGAACCCACCCCAAGGGGTGCAGAACCCACCCCAAGGGGAACATGAGGCTTCCACCTGATGTAAGCAATGGGCCGGCCCATGGGTTGAGTCGGTTGGACTTGTCCCTCCTAGACCGGTCTATCACATACTTAATATCATAATATCAAAAGCAACATAAAATTCCTCATTGTTGGTTAATAACAATGTGCAATCCATGGACATTTGACCAACCATAACTAACAAAGCTTCAGACAACTAAAACACATTATGTAGCTCTACTGAGGGTAAATAAAAAGTTGAATGGTTCAACACATGCATTTAACATTTTTTTAAGCAAGCAGTAGTAGAAGAATGTTTTTACTTTTTCCATGACAACTCATTCATCTAAAATGAAAAAAGAATAAAGGTGGTGGCTGGGTATGCTACTAAAATTTTCAATATTTTCTTTGCAGAGCAATTGAAATTAGCAGATAAAAAATAAAATTATGCTGTTGCAGAGAAAAGTTGGTCGTATTAACAATGTTTTTTTTTTTGAAGGGAGGGGGGGGGCGGGGGGGGGGGGCAAAAAGCATTACGTATCACAGCCAAATCCTAAGGCCATGCAAGTGTTTCATAGATCAACACAATAATGGTATTAATAGAAAGGGGGAAGAAAAGCATGGGCTTATTACTATGTTGCAGCAGACCCATGCAAAGCTAAGCACAAATTTAATTACCTTGTCGAAGATAGGGTACTCTGCTTTGAAGCGTGTGCAAGCGAATTCAACAATCTCCTCATTGCTACCTGGCTCTTGGCCTGCAAACTGGTTGCATGGGAAAGCCAATATCTCTATACCTGCAAAAACAAAAAAATGCATATGTAAGAAAAAACTATGCATATTTGAAAAGAAAAAAACAAGGGTATTCAAATATGTCAGAAGAATTTCATATCATTATATTCAGGGTCTGTTTGAGGCGGCTTTTTTTACTGCTTTACTTTTTAAATCACTAACATGCTTTTCTTTTACTAAAGCTTCTCTTTTTTCTTTTAAAAAGTTCCTATGGTGAGTAGTAGCTTCACGATTATATTCATTAGAGTATGTTAACTGTAAAGAAACTATTATACCATCTTTTCAAAATGAAAAAATCTATAATAGCCATAACAAGTTATCAAAAATTTGATCCTATCATTACAATTCTACAACCATTTTTACAATTAGTTACAGCCGCATCAAATAGCTTTAATATTCTTCCATGCTATTTCATAATGCACACAAATTTTGGAAACAAGGGTCCTCTCACAAATTTGAGGAATATTAACTCATAAGGCAATCACTTATACATTCTTAATTTAATATATACAACATCTAGTAAAAGATGAAATAAATGATTTTGCTCTTGGTGGTTCCTCAAAAATATTCACGAGTCCTTGCATGTATAGAATAGTGCATGAACTGAAAAATGCTCAATTCTATTTGCTATATTATTTCAATTACTACACTGCTTTTACAATATGCAGAAATACTTTCACTCAACTAATGCATTCAAGTTAATTAGCACAAAACAAAATTTTACTCAACTAATGCATTCAGCATTCTGCGACAAATACAGATAGAAAGACTTTGCAGTTCTTGTACATGCATAAACAAATTTTTGTTGTAAAGTATGTGCAAATAAATCTAACAAGTAGAAGTCTGCTAAAATGTACTTCTCATACGAAATAAGAACTGATCATAAACAATGTAATAAGACAATAAAGAAGGAAAAATTGGAGCTTTCAAGCTAATATATTGGACTAAAAAATTACCTTTATCCTTGTACTTCTCATACAACTGACTCATCTCGGTATAATTTGAGTTGGTTAACCCGCTGCATCAGATATATTAGAAAGTTCAGATGTGCAACATATATTACTAAATTCTTTTTGAAATAAAAAGCTAGACACAGTAATGGAGGGAACTAATACCATTGAGAAGCAACATTTACGATGAGCAGAACCTTGCCCTTGTAAATACTAAGGTCTACGTCTTCTCCACGAGCATCCTAAAAAACAGAAAACGATTAGAGGCTTTAACATGCATAATCATCAAACAAGCAATCACCAACTGATGGGAACTTGATCCAAGCAGAGCAATTCAAGCTTGCTCAAGCTCCCCCAAAAAAGAAACGGAGATAGAGAAGACACGAGAAAAAGGAAGTGGGGGAGAAGTTTCAATCACATACCCATGCCGTCGTACTTCTCGATTTGGATTACTTATAGAATATTGTGAGGGTTAGCAGGGAGCGTGATGTCCCAAAATTTCTATAATATCAATCCATTATTATTTCATTAAGGAAACTTTTAAAAAAAGATTGTATCTTTAGATGCCGTAAGTTTTAGAGGAATTAAGACCATAATTCTCCACAATCCAACATGAATACAATTTGCAGCATCCCAAACAGAGTACAGACATTAATTGAGTGAATATGTGTAAAATTTTTGTGTGCTTTTGTGCGTTGATAGTCTTTTCTACTTCAAGTTCTTTCTCTCTTTCAGCATTTGAAGTACACGTTTCGTCTATTACCCAACAACATAAAGCACTCATACACCAAGAAGAAAAGTTCTGAAACTCCAACAATAAATTCATAAACTTCAGGCATGTTTAAGATCAATTTATTTATATTCTGAAATTATTTTAATTTTATTTTATGTTTAATTTCTTTTGTTTGCTTTCTCAGTTAAAAATAAATATATATTTTGATTTTGTTTTCTAAGATAAAAACAAAATTTTAACCCAAACAATCCTTAAATGAATCAGTAAATCATCAACACCAATATTCAAGAGTAACTACAGATCTAGAAAAATAAAACATTTGCTGTTCTCCATTGAAAACAAATATTCATAATAATGTTGCCAGAGAAAAATCTCACTTCCTCACTCCAGAATTCCAAAACTAGCAGCCTCATGCAAATAATCAATGTTAAAGAAAGTGCAAACAGGTGAAATTAAGCCAGAATTACGCCAATTCCCGCAAACCTACATCTACAATCCAGAACACCTTCATTGTCAATTTCCCGATTAAAAATAAGAATATTCAAATGAAAGATACGAAAAACACACATACAAGGATAGATTCAACTCACTTTCACTGTGAAATCGTGGACGGATTGAACCGTCTGCGAAGCCGTGCTGGACATTTTAGAAAAGCGGCTCGATCGCAAATGAAACGGCAAATTAAAGCAGAACACCACGAATGGAAGATCGAGGAACTCCCGAAGGCTCGCTCAATACGGCAGAGAGGAGAACTCGGAAGCGGAAATTAATGTTTTCAGGGAACGGCGCAGATAGAGATGAAAGTGGAACAGAACATACAAAGCAGCGGAGCTTTAGGTTTATAGTAGGTAAGAGAAAAGCTGACAGAGGTCCGCCATGTGAACACTCACGATATCCGAACGGCGAGATCTTTTCAGAGAAATCTGATTCTTCCACCCCTTCGAAAAAGGGGAATTCCCACCCACATATTATTCACCAAGCTGTAAATGTACGCCACGTCTCAACCCGTAAGTCGACGTCACGTAGCAAACTAACGGCTTACGTGAACTCTGTTTAACGTGCCTGCGCCACATTCTGGGCGAGGAAGAAGATAATGGACTTGAATTCCTGAATTAAAAAAGAAAATTTTATTTTGAAGAGAGAGGCCCTCAACAAAATTCGGACGGTGGATGACGAATGTGAAAGAATTATTTGACTATATGCATGAACGAAGAACCAACACGTTACTTCTGTACAACCGTGCGGTGCTGAATTCTAATTTAATATGAGTTCAGATTTATTTACTTATAGATTCAAGTCAAATTTTAATATAATTTTAGTTTCTATATTATGTAATCAAATTATATTCATCATCAAACTATATATGTCGGGTGTTACTAAATGATCTCATATGCGAACCCAATTCAAATCTGGTCAAAAAATTCAAATTTAAATTGACATATTTATTAAATAGGTTGGATTCATCTCTATAAATCTAACTTATTTATTAAATAGGTTGGAACCGAGATGGCCCGTAATTCTATTTTTAACCATAATGTGACCAGTTGAAATTTATTTTTTCCTTAAATTCTTATGTTTGTTGGTTTGATATTCTTATGTTTTATCAATTAACTAAAATCTGTCGTTGCTAAGTTAAAAATAAAAATAAAAATTAATCAAAACGGGTCATTGGGTCGAGCTCATATTATTTGGATTACTAGCGGGTTTGATTTGGGTCCATGTTTTACCCATTTATTAAATGAATCAACCTAAGGTTGGCTGGATTCAAATCATGTCAATTTCGGGTCAAACTCGAACACAACATGTTAACCCTCCTATACTAGTACATGTCTTCTCAAATATTTAATAGATATTAAACAGGTCATAATGGGAGAACTCAAACCCTATAAACCTTAATAATGAGTATTCGCCCAAGGAAATCGTTCTCAACTGGGTAATGTAGTCATATAGGAGTCAACTCTCAAGGAAGTCTCAAGAGTTCACAAGAACAACACAGCTTATAAGTATTAAAGACTCAACATCCAGATGCTTCCAAATCAAGAAAGGACGATTCTTAAAACGTTATTACAAATCTTGATACATGTGTACATTTTCTATTTGTTGATTACTGTAATGTAAGCCTATATATTCGGCTATGTGGTGTAATGTTTAGGTAGATTGAAATGAATAGTTTTTTATTTTTTTCTCTGTTCTCTAGAATCCCTGTTAGCTTTACCGCCTAAACAGGTCTTCATGGTATCAGAGAGGTACACTTCGTGTACCTAGTTTTCTTTTCTTGTCTTGTCTTCTCTTGTTCTTCCCGTCTCTCCTCTGGTCGAGTGCGTCCCCTTCCCTGACGAAACCATGGCTTTGCACTCCTCAACATCTACCACGGTGATTTCTGCTGTGACCTCTCAATCTATTATCACCCCTCAACTCAAGTTCTTGATCAGCAACATCAAGAATCTCATCCCTTCTACTCTCACCGCCGAGAACTTTCCGCTCTGGAAATCCCAGGTGGAAAAAGTCTTCACAGCTAATGATTTCAAAGGATTCTTGGATGGCACAGTAGCTGTGTCTGCCTCCACGGATGAATCTTCTACATCCTACTCAGTCTACTCGGAGGCCAGCTTCCGACTCACGGATCAACACCTGGCGTCTGCTCTGTGCTCGATAATTTCTCCGACAATTTTACCTTATGTGTTATCTCTAACACATTGTTCTGAAATCTGGAATACCTTGAATCTTCGTCTCCAATCCAACACCCGCTCTCGGGTCATTCAACTTAAAAATGACCTACATCATCTCAAAAAGGGTGATAAAACCATGACAACATATCTGTTAGAAATAAAAGCCAAAGTGGATGCCATTGCTGCGGCTGGAAGTCATATAGATCCGGAAGACGTCATCCTCTATACACTGAATGGACTTCCAGCCACCTACCAGTCATTCAAGATTGCAATACGAACTAATCTTCAACCCATTGGATTGGATGATCTTTACAGTCTGCTGTGCACTGAAGAGCAGAATATTCTTCAAGAAATCTCTCAAGAACTTCAGACCACTCAACTAACAGACTCTACGATGGCGTTAGCGGCTAATCATGGAAGAGGACAAGGACGAAATAACAATGCTCGTGGCCGGCGGGGCAGAGGACCAAGAAACTCAACTGGTCGTGGTACCAACAATCCCTATCGTAATGTTACATGTCAAATTTGCCTCAAGGTTGGTCACTCGGCTCAACGATGCTGGCATCGCAGTGATCTCAATTACACTGCAAATGCGCCTTCATCTGCCTTGTTCGGCTCAGCGGAACAGCAAAACCCGTCCGAATGGTTCTTGGACAGTGGGGCGTCTACCCACTTAACTTCCGATTCCTCACAACTAAATCATACTGAACCTTATACTGGATCCTCCCAAGTCACCATCGGCAATGGACATCAACTGCCTATTCACCATACAGGTAACGGGCTTCTACCAACGCCCACAGGTAATCTTCTACTCAAAAACATTCACCATGTTTCGAATCTTTCATTTAATCTGTTGTCCATATTTCAAATTACTCGTGACAATAATTGCACTGTTTCTTTTACTTCTCATGGTTATCAAATCAAGGATTTGAAGACCAATCGAATACTTCTACAAGGACCTTGTCATAGAGGGCTATATTCGGTTCGGTCAACGAATCCTCCCACGGATCTGGCTTTGATATCGGTACAAACCATTCCGGATTTGTAGCACTCAAGATTGGGACATCCAGCTCATTCTATCTTACAGCATTTACCTATTTCTTTCAAGAAATGTCATCTAGTTTCTTCTGTTAATTGCAACACTTGTCATTTGGCTAAAAGCCATCAGTTAGCTTTTCCTGTTTCTACTAATGTTTCTACTATTCCTTTTGCTTTAGTACATTCGGATGTGTGAGGTCCTTCCCCTACGATCTCGTTGTATGGTTTTCATTATTTTGTTACGTTTATAGATGATTTTTCCAAGTTTTGATGGGTTTTGCACTTACTATGAAATATGAAGTTCTACAAAAGTTTATCCTATTTCATAAAGTGGTTAAATGCCAGTTTAACACAAATGTGCAAATCATACGTACTGATGGAGGAGGGGAGTACATGAATAACGTGTTTCGTATGTTTTGCCAAAATAAGGGAATACAACATCAATACACTTGTCCGTACACTCAGGCACAAAATGGGGTTGCCGAACGTAAGAACCGACACATTCTTGAAACCATTCGTAGTCTTTTAATTCATTCCAATGTTCCTTCGTCGCTTTGGGTAGAAGCCTTGCACACTGCCATACACATTATAAATAGGTTACCCACAGCCACTCTTAATCATAAAACACCTTTCGAAAAAATATACAACAGATTGCCTTCTTATACCCATCTCAAAACTTTTGGAAGTTTATGTTACCCTTGGTTACGACCATATTCCAGATCAAAACTCTCACCTTTATCCATACCTTGTGTTTTTATAGGGTATGCGTCTCAACAAAAAGGTTATCGGTGTCTAGACCCTAGCACGAATCGTGTTTACACGTCCCGTCATGTCATTTTTATTGAAAACAAGTTCCCTTTCCAGCAACAGACTGCAATGCAGCAAACTGTCAGTCATTCTACTAGCACCTATCTCCCTCCCCTTTTACTGGTTCCTACTTCCAGCTTACCTACAATACCGAATCCAAATTCTCCACCTTCCATTACACCTGAGCCTAACGTCCCAGCTTCAAATTCTATATCCAGCCAAACTCCCACTCAGGACATGCCGTCTCCTAGAACTATTGCTCAACTGGTTCCTGTCAAACATAAAATGCAGACCAGACTCCAAACCAGGAACCTTAAGCCCAAAACTATTTTTGATCTCACTCACCAAATCACTGAACCCGATCCCACTTCTTACACTCAAGCCATCAAAACTGAACATTGGCGCATGGCTATGTCCCAAGAATTTCAAGCTTTATAATCCCAAGGCACTTGGGAACTGGTTCCGTCTCAACCACATCAGCATGTTCTAGGGTGTAAGTGGATGTATCGCACCAAATTTAATTTGAATGGCATGATTTCGCGGTATAAAACTCGTCTAGTAGCATTGGGCTACAATCAAGAATATGGTATTGATTATACGGACACTTTTAGCCCGGTGGCAAAAATACCTACTTTTCATGTTATGATAGTTCTTGCTTTACATCACAAATGGCCAATACATAAATTAGATGTATCAAATGCGTTCTTACATGGTAAGTTAACAGAAGAAGTATTCATGAAACAACCACCAGTGTTCACTGATGCAAATCATACTACACATGTTTGCAAATTGAAGAAAGCATTGTATGGGCTCAAGCAAGCTCCACGACAATGGTTTGAGACACTCACAGAATTTCTACATCAATGTGAGTTCACTGCTAGTCACTCTGACCCATCGTTACTTATATATAAAAAGGATCAGTCTAAAATTTATGTTTTAATTTATGTTGATGACATTATTCTAACGGGTAACAATGTTCTTGCCATCAACCAATTACTGGACAAACTACATCAACGGTTTAACATGAGGAACCTGGGATCTCTTACCCAATTCTTAGGACTTACAGCGGAGACTACAGCTTCCGGATTACTATTGCATCAGTCACGGTATACCACAGAGATACTAGCCAGAGCTGGGATGCTAAACTGCAAAGCCGTGGCCTCCCCGATCACAGTCAAGACTAGCTCCGAAACCAAAACAACAGTTTTTTCAAATCCCACACTATACCGGCGGTTGGTTGGAGCTTTACAGTACCTTACACTTACACGTCCGGATCTCACGTTTGCTGTCAATAAAGCATGTCAACACATGCATCAACCCACTAATTCCCACTTTGATGCTCTCAAAAGAATTTTAAGGTACATACGAGGCACTACTCAGGTTGGGATAACTCTCTCAGGATCGTCTCTAACTCTACGATC